AAGATAAATCTACTATGGTGTTTCTGTGTATCGACGTCAAGGATTCGTTACTGTCTATACAAAAGTAGAAGATTCGTAGACATTTTTTGTATGCACCCGTAAGTTGTATAATATTATGAACACAGAAAAACGAAGTAAGCATGGATCGGATGTTAGACACGCCCCCTTGTGAGGTTGTACAGAGGAAATTATATTACTCTATGACCATTCCTACCTTGTTTCCTCACTTTTTGGTTCACCCATTCCTACATTTTTGTTAAATATTTTTTTTCCACTTGTTCATGAACTTTTTTTTCATACAAGGTGACATCATTCATTCATTTGCGTAGATATCCTGTATGTACATCATCATTGTGGATGTGCACCATAATATTACACTACTTATTAAATGCTTCGCGAATTCAAATTTGATTTAATTTACAAAACGTATTATAAATTCCTTGGAAAAGAGCGTAGCTCGTTTTCTAGCCTAGATAGTGAAGCTTCTTTCAAGGCTCACCCTACATTGGCATACCCTGTACTACTCACAGTTTCCAGATCTTGTCACACAGTGCTCTAGATCGAGACCACACCTCCTTCGCTGTTTTACTTGACTATGTCTACTCAGTGTACAACAGGTCAATATTAGAATATGGAAGCATTGTCGCCTGCAATATATCAAACTTTCTTTACCAAAAGCTAGAATCCACTCAAAGCAAAAAGATTAGCTTACAACCTTCCAGTATACACTCCCTGCACAAATCTTGACAAAATAAGTAAGCTAACAACAATTCAAACACGCTTCAAAATTCTTGCTACTAGGTACTACTAAAAACAAAAAATCGATATGTCCTCTCAACAAAACATCCCTAAACTAGTAGAAACACCAGATACCTGGAATAAATGTTCCCCATACGACTAACTACATTATATCACTATACAAACAGAACACTCGCTACCAACTACCTTGAGCGTTTTGCCTTTTCCTTCTCTTCATTTTCTTTCATTACAAAGGAATACGTGTTCAGTTTGAATTAATATGTAAATTGTGAAATTGTCGAATCTGCATTTCATGCATTGTAAATTCCCTTGTATTGTTAATTCTTGCTTGCATTGTTTGTTCTCGATGAAAGCTACTGTTTCACAAATTGTTATTGTAACTGTGAATTGTTAATAAACAATGGTTCTACTCTTGTGTTCTGTCTGTGGTGGGGTGTGTGGCCACAGCGTGCGGGCATGCGCTGTATGATCTCTCTGCTTGTGCTCCCTGATCTTCATGAGCCAGCTTAAACATTTTCATTACACCTACTACAGGAAGAGGAATGCATTTCCGGTTTCTCTTTCCGGCTTCTCTGCTTGCTTGCTCTTGGTAATCTACTATCGTAATTTCATAACAAGGAAAAACACAATCAAGTATCCGAAGTCTTTTTTTAGTTATAGAAGCCAAAGGGGTGAAAAGAAATTTCAAACGTTTCTGACCACCCCTGGTTTCTCAAACCTAAATAATCACCAAGTTTGGTTTGTATTAGCATATGGTGTGAGCGATTGGGTGTATGTATTTTAAAATGGCGTCCCTGTTCAAAGTATTATATGATGTACGTAAAACAGCTCTTCTTTTAAGTGATGTTTAATAGAGTAAAAACGCTAGTACTGGCACGTGGTCCCCGTGCCATTGTTCTGTTTGGTGCACTTATAACTATGGTAAGTATGTTTGTTACACGGCTAGAAATATTCAACAATATCAGTCAGTGAGATTGAGAAAGTTGTGATTTTGGGATTTGTTTTGCATCTGTTCTGCTGACTTTCTCAAGTGGTTCTATGACTTGTAGTGTTGTACGTGGTTTGCTTATCACCTAAGGATGTATCTCAAATACTTTTGAAGACTTATTATTTGGTTGTTAAAGATGTATATGAGAAAATAGTTTGTATTGCATGTATTGTGTATCTGCCTCATTTTTATTACTACCATACTTATGATGTAGTTGCATTACAATCAAAGGTTAGATTTTCGCACTTCTGTTTTAATTTTTCTTAATTGTTTTGACAATAGTTTTAACTCTAGCAGTAATTTTGTACTCGCAAGTGAAACTGTTCGATTACCTTGAGTTAAGACCTAACATGACCTGGTAGTTAGGGCGTTCACTCCCAAATCTGCGGGTCGCTGATTTGAATCCCGTTTATCGAACATGCTCGATTTTCAGCCCTGGGCGTTATAATGTTGCGGTCAATCCCACTGTTCGTTGGTAAAATGGTAGCCGTAACATTGGTTGTGAGTGGTGTTGACTAGCTGCCTTCCTTCTGGTCTACCAATGCTGAATTAGGGACGGTTAGCGCATTTAGTCCTCGAGTAGCGTTGCGCGAAATTTAAAACAAACAAACAAAAACTCGAGTTAGATAGGCGCTATATTTCTTTAAGCATCGTTGAAGAAGGGTAGACAATATTTTGTGATTAATCCCAGATTTTCTACAATTTCAACACAATCAATACATCTGTGGACTTACATTTGTTGTAAACTTCTAAGTTTTCCCTTAGGTTACACAGTTAGTAGGTGAGGGGATTCAGATGAAAAATTCTTGGATACACCTGATTTAAGCTCTGTATGCACACACTACTAACCTTAATGTGTAGATGCGTTGATACTTTGTCTAGCTAAGTCATTAGATTAAAATTAACATGCTTCTCTTAAGTTGCATTCCCAAAATTCTGGTCTCAGTAACAGATACTAATAATAATAAGCAGATAAATCACCACTGTGTGGTTTTGAAGAACTTAATTGATGATCTGGATTAGAGAAGATTCAATGCAAAGTTTCCATTGTCTCTGAGCAGTTGGTCAAAATGCAAGTACTCCTATTGTCAGTTGAGTGGCATTAACATGCAGATCACGCAGGAGGTAGTGACTGACCCACAAATACAGCAGTTTATCATCCAATGGAAATCCAGGTAACCTATTAGTTAGTAGGATAGTTGGTGGTCAGCCTAAAATCAATATAAAGACTCTAAGGCCAACCGCTATAGTAAAAAATATGCATTTGGACATTGGAGTAGCCCCATTACAGTTACAAGGTAGGCCATCAAATGAAACCCAGGTGCAAACCATTATGCCTATGAAATATAATGAGATGTATTTAGTATATACACTCTATGGGTCATGCTGAAGAATCAAGTATGGCTTGGAAATGTGGTAAAACCTACGAAAAATCATAGGGAGAAGTGGAAATAAAATTAACCAAGAAACACTGCCATTAAGATTGGACAGGGACAATATCCAGAAAAAAAGGAGTGAAAACTCCCTTCGCAACAGCAAGAGATAGTCATTAATTTAAACTGGAATATCCAACACAAGGACTTCGAACCACAGACTTGGAGCAGTAGCCACCCCTCCTTCACAACGAAGGCTTGTTGAGGAACACTGATACAATGGCAATGTGTCAGCTAGTTGCGGCTTGTATCATGGATAGTAGCCTAAAATTAGATAGAGGAGGAACATAACAGAATAATGGAACAATAGTATTTGGTTAATTGTGAGTTGAGAGGGATGATCACGCATCTAATGTAGAAAATTAGATGTCGTTGATTCTTGTCGAAAATTTTAGTAGAATAAGTAGATACATCCTAGGTCAACCTCACCATTTGTTTGTTCTACTTAAGTTTAATTGTTAGATATTTAACATTTACAATACCTACAGTAGCTATGATACACATATTTTCATAGGTGCAACTTTTTTATTCATATAATTGAATATATGTTCCCCGATTAGTTTCCTGTTCCAAGGTACAGGAAGAAGCTCTACAATAGAGTGAAATAGTTAATCTCCAGATTAGTGTTAAGGACAATGAGTTATCAGTTAAAGTTATCGCTTAGAGTAGACATCTTATGTGTATTTCCAACCTACCAGTGAACAAATATGCCAAGTCTGAAATGTTACTTCTTGTACAAAACAACGAAGCAATCAGTAATTTAGCTGAAAAACTGTTATTATAGTGCAATGCTGATATTTTTGTTGAAATATGTATATTTTTAGTTACTTAACGTTTTATTCGAAGATATTCAGTACAATAAAATAATTTGGCGACAATTTATTCTTCATATCCTATTAAAGTTAATTGTACGTTAAGTTAATCTGATTAGAACTTCATATAATATCTTCTGTTTAATTTTACAAGCGGTTGTTTTTCTTTCCAGCTTCAATTGGTAACTTTTCAAGAATGATTAACCTTAAAATTAAACCAAATCTTTATTTTTTACACCCACACTGCCATTCCATAATAGTTTGATTTGTCAGCACATGTTTAATTTTTTTCTCTTCTTGCCAAAGCATTCTTTGCTTATTCTGAACCAAAGAATTTATTCTTATTGTTTTACAGCATCTCTCTCAGCTTTGAATTGATTATTTACTTGGCCATATTCTTGAGCTTTGGCTTATTACATCCTACTGGTGGAAAATAAAAAGTAGCAGGAATCAATGTATTAAGCTACAAAAAAAACAACAACCAATAACAACAAACATTCAAAACAAAACAATGGAATTTACTAGCTAAACTTTTAAACATATAATTACAAAACTAATCAGTTCATATTTATAAAAATTAAGTTACCATAAATAAATAAATAATTTACATACTGATTAAGATTTACTACTGCATAACAAGGCCCAGAAAATCTTGCACAACTCTTGTAACTCGTTTTTTTTGTCTTAATAGTGCCTTATTTTGTATTTATATGAAATTACAAATGTTGTTGTATTTATAAAGGTATATTTACATTTGTAATATATTTTACAGTTAAAAAGTATATGTAAGTGTTGTAACTAGGCTTCGTACTTAATTAGGAAAAAGTGTCACGACTTTCATATTTAATTCGCAATTAAATTAAATTAATAAGGATTCTTTGTTAATCAACACGAATTTATCTTTGTACATTAAGCCTATCGATGTTTACATTAATACATTAGATAACAGTGTATTATGTTTTTCTTCAAGTTTTGGTACATAATTAAGTATTACGTTTCGTTCTACAGGACTTCACAGTTTGATCAACGTTTCTCGAGACATGCTGCATGGACATTTCGACTGGTATACATCAGAACAATGTCAAAGAATTATAGATGCTAATTTGACTGGTGTTGTCCGAGTTACAAAATGTTTTTTGCACTTACTGAAACCCATACCGGGTAAGTTTAAAAATGACACGAGGAAAGCTTTATTCAATGCATGAACTTCGAGTCTTTTTTTATGTTGCTTCTAATCAGGCGTAGTCTCAAGGAAAAATAATTGCCGAAAGGTAATCAGAAACAAAGACAATTCGTGGAACAAGAAATTATCACTATAACATACCAATAAGCTTCTAGTTACTCAAGATTAGTCGCATATTAGTTGATGTTGAACAACTAGGTGCTTTGGAAGAAATTTCTGCTCGGCCTGCTGCTTGTAGTGCATATCAATATTTGCTGAACAACTAAGTTTATGGAAGAAATTTTTGCTCGGCCTGTTGCTTGTAGCGCATATTAATATGTGCTGAACAACTAAGTTATTTGGAAGAAATTTCTGCTCAGTCTATTGCCAGGTGGTTAGGGCGCTCGATTCGTATATCGAGGGTCGCGGGTTCGAATCCCCGTCCCACCAAACATGCTCGCTCTTTCAGCCGTGGGAGCCTTTTAATGTGACGGTCAATACCACTATTCATTGGTAAAAGATTATCCCAAGAGTTGGCATTGATAACTAGCTGCCTTCCCTCTAACCTTTCACTGCTAAATTACGGACGGTTAGCGCAGATAGCCCTTGTATAGCCCCAAACCAATCGGTCTACTACTTCTATCGCATATAAATATTTGCTGAACAACTAAGTGCTTTGGAAGTAATTTCTGCTCGGCCTACTGCTTCCAGCACTGAAGTTAGTTTACTGTCTGATGATTATTAGTTTCGACCACCATATAAATGTGGAAAGCAAATCCATAGAAACTTACGATTCCATTATCATGATAGCTCGACATTACCTGCCACAAGCTTTCATTTTTAACTCTGCTTTCAGTAGAAGACACAATATTACAACCTTCTACCAACATCCCCACAAGAGTATCTGTTCATTTAAAACATTAATAATTTTGTGGGTTTTATGCTTTTCAGGTGACTGTGCTAATGATGACTCGGTGCAGCTGTCTTTACTTTTCAGACTCAAGTGCATAATGCAGGTGCAAGAGAATGGCCGTTAAAACCTAAATGCTATACAAAAAACTAGAAGATGCGTTTGTTAATTTGGATAATTTACATTAGCAAGTGCTATTGTTCGCTAAATATACAGGCAGTAACTCAAAATCCTCAATTCATATATATTCTAAAGAATTTGTAATAACTAACCACTCTTTAAATTTGACTGGTCTGGAAGAATTTACCATTGATTTATTGGAATTCAACTTTCATATTAGATTTATAAGAAAACTCATAAAATGCTTTTTTCATTTTCTTTCTCCTCTGGCAGTATTATAAATGCAGATATATAAAAATGGCTGAATAAATGTTTTATTTCTGAAAACTTATTGAAAGTTCCTTATTTTAGTAAAATGTGAAATTTGTTGTGCAGCAAATATTCTCAATATTTGAGAGTTCAAATGTTGGTGGATAAATGAGGATAATAATATTTGGTGTATTTCCTTTACTTTAAACTGACATTTTTAATAATGGGTTTGGGACACGAAAATTAAACACAACTATTATTAACATAGCAAAGTAAACGTGTGCTAAAAATGAGGAAAACATAAACAGGTGAGATATTGAATATATCATATATTTTATGGTGTGAATGCCTTATTCAAGCTGGCGAACATAGTATGGTTGGAATACTATTATTATACACTCTTCCAATTCTTGAAAATTTCTAAGGAACTAAATATAGAATGCAGTGTTAAACATTTGATAGACCTAACACTAATTAATGTCTTACATCATATATGGTATTGAAGCAGATCGTATAATATTACACGGAAGTATAAGTAAAGTTCTCAAAATTTACCTCTTAATGTATTTTACAGTAAAACTCGCTATAAGTTTTATTTGACGCAAACGACTTATTTTGTTTTATTTTCAGATTGAAGTTAAAAAAAATCAAGTAGTTATGCTAGTTTCATGTACATTATGCACCCATAATAATTAAGAATCCACATTGCGTTTGTATGTTCACGTTTACGTATTTGTAGTAAAAATTGAAATGACTTCCATGTTGCCTTTACACATGTTGATGACATGTATATTTCATTGTATACGTAGAGTGACTGTATGTGGTCATCAAACTTTAAGTAAAGAAGAATTAAGAAAAACCGTTATACGTATATATAATTATTCCACACATACATTAATTTTATGAATGGTACATTCGTTTACTACTACGTAAAGGATAGTTCCTTTCAAATACAATTTTATCTAAAATGAAATAACATGTACATTTAACTTTATTTACAACTTTTATGTAAGGTAAGATATAACAACAAGTATTCAATCACTGTCGCCTTTATCTGTAAAAGCTCAAGCTGGGCATGTTAACTTTGTGGATACTAACAGTATATTTCTGTATTTTACATACAGAGTGGGCAAAAAGTAGGTATGTAGTTGTATTTGTACTTTTTCTTCTTTTGAGTATTCAAGGACAAAGTATGTAGTAGGAAATCGTGAAATGTTGATTAAATGAATGGGTACATCACAGACACATTTACAGAACTTGATGGACAGACAGACTTGTGTCAAAAACTTTGCAGAAGTGTGGCAGGCAGACTCCAAGATTGTGTGAACAATGACGGGTTTCAATTTGAATACCTGCGGATTAACTTTCCCATAATTCCATGTCATGTGTAAAGTGACGTTAAATAAACTATCAATGATAAACCGTATCCTTTAATTTTAATTAAATTACTTTAAATACATTATCAATTGCATACCTACTTTTGGGCCACTCTGTGTATACCAAGAGTAATATAATGAATAAAACTACTAAATTCCTTACTCGTGTATCCTCATACATACTAGTAGGGTAGTATATGTATTATTATATTTACCCATATTATGCGTGTAACTTGTATTGGAGTATTAACCATTAGTGTTAAGTATGTAATGTGATTTAGCTTGGGATTAATATAATGTGGTATACTTATCAGTGATTAATATAATGTGGTATACTTATCAGTTATTAACACAATGTGGTATACTTAATCAGTTATTAATATAATGTGGTATACTTAATCAGTTATTAATATAATGTGGTATATTTAATCAGTTATTAATATAATGTGGTATACTTAATCAGTTATTAATATAATGTGGTATATTTAATCAGTTATTAATATAATGTGGTATACTTAATCAATTATTAAAATAACGTGGTTTACTTAATCAGTTATTCTCTCTCCCTTTTTAGAATTATTATTAATATAATAAACTATTTCTTATTCTACTTCTCAATAAAATAATATCAATCAATAATTGCAGGTCGAATTATTAACATATCGAGTATAAACGGAAAGTTCCCACTGCCAGAGATGTCCGTCTATACTGCGGCCAACTTCGGCCTGGAAGGGTTTACCAAGTCATTGAGACACGACCTCAAACCCATGGGAATTAAAGTCACTGTCATCATACCAGGAGAAGTATCAAGATCTTCCTTTGGTGTTCAGGTACTTTAAGCTTTGTTTGTTTTGTAATAATATACCAACGTACCTCACGACGATCTACTTAACAGCTAAACTCATTTTTAAAATGTTTTACGTGAACGTGTCAGTACATATCGGCATAGAATATATTTTATTCACTAAAAATTTAGTTTTGAAACTTTCAGTTTTGTATTTTTAATAATTATAAAGTTATTGCCGACCAATTTTAAGAAGTGCGAGGAACTGATAATTTACAAAAGACACTTTCCTTAGATATTTTGGGGAGCTCCAATTTCTTCCTTTCATTCTTATTTCTCGTCGATCTCTTTAATCATTAGGACACAAACTTAAATATTACTAGTAACTGAAGCTGTGAAGTAGTACTGTGACATAAGCTTATATATTGCTGGTAACTGAAGCTGTGAAGTAGTACTGTGACATAAGCTTACATATTACTTGTAACTGAAGCTGGGTAGTGGTACTGTGACACAAACTAATCAATTGTTGATAACTGAAGCTGTGAAGTGTACTGTAATACACGTTTATATCTTGTTGATAACTGAAGCTGTGAAGTGTACTGTAATACACGTTTATATCTTGCTGGTAACTGAAGCTGTGAAGTGGTACTGTGACACAAGCTAATCATTTGTTGATAACTGAAGCTGTGAAGTGTACTGTAATACACGTTGATATCTTGTTGATAACTGAAGCTGTGAAGTGTACTGTAATACACGCTTATATCTTGTTGATAACTGAAGCTGTGAAGTGTACTGTAATACACGTTTATATCTTGTTGATAACTGAAGCTGTGAAGTGTACTGTAATACACGTTTATATCTTGTTGATAACTGAAGCTGTGAAGTGTACTGTAATACACGTTTATATCTTGCTGGTAACTGAAGCTGTGAAGTAGTACTGTGACACAAGCTAATCAGTTGTTGATAACTGAAGCTGTGAAGTAGTACTGTGACACAAGCTAATCAGCTGTTGATAACTGAAGCTGTGAAGTGTACTGTAATACACGTTTATATCTTGCTTTTAACTGAAGCTGCGAAGTAGTACTCTTACTTCAGAATGATAATTCGGCATTTTGTTCTATCAAATTTTTCAATGATTGAATTTTCTATTTCTGTTGGTGTTCAAATGTATCCAATAAGTCATAAATCTGAGTCCAACATGAAGGAAAAAACAATACTTTTGCAACAATGGAAACCACTGATGGCAAAACATTAACGCTATCTTTCTTTCTGTGTCTCTCGTATTTTCTCGCACTTAAAATTGAGGTTAACACAATGTTTCATGTTTTCACAAAGGAACATATATTTGTATACCTGTTTTAAATCATCATCACTCTTGTTTGAATCGAATTAAATGACCAATAGGATGAAACGTCCTCTAAATATCTTGCGAGGTTTCAATATGTTGTAGGAGATGAGTGAAGGTAGACTTTTCATGTAAACTCTGGTGTTTGTACAATGGACTCGGATGTTTGACTAGTAATATATATATATACACGTAATTTGTGTGTGTGTATTTATGTATATTTACATATTTATTTATTTACAATTACTAATAAATTCTAAACGTTATTTTATTAAACTTATCCCATTAAAACACAAATGTCGACAGACAGTAAGTATTAGGTTGTCAAGAAATTAATGTCGCGTTTTTGAACACTTTTCATTAACCACCCCCCAAAAAACGTACGTCACGTATAATAGTTAAACGAACCGCCTAAACGTCACGTTACTGTAGCCTATATAATGTGTAAAGTTTAGTATACTCTAATCCCTTATAGTGATGGCACACGGCGAAACACACATTCGGCATGTAACGCTGTTTGAATACAAGAAGGGAAACAACGCCTGTGTAGCTACAAAGAATATAAAAAAATTTTATGGAAATATTTTGAACGTTCGTAAGTGTCAACGATGGTTCAGCAAATTTCGTTCAAGTGCTTTAGCCTTAAAAACTGTGATGGCAGGGACCGACATGTTAGAATTTATATTGATGCTCTATAGACGCTTGTTGAGTCTACCCAAGGC